TCTCAAGCTGAGGACATTCCGGTGCTACTCTTAAAGCTCTCCTTTCTCACGTGCAGCCCGAGCCGCGTCCAAACTCCCAGCAACGCTTTCTGTTTAAGTACACGTTTGTTGTGGAGTTAATTGTAACCATCATCGAATTTAAATTTATAGGAATTTTCTTGGCTCCACCGCCCTCCCGCCAGATGTCTCCGTCTGTCGCAGTTAAATGTGCAGGGTTGAGGGTAGGGCTTTCATTTTTTTTTTTTTTCTCCATGAGAAGACTGTATTGGAATTTTTATATACAGTTTTGAAGGAGGGAGGGGAGAGGAGGAGAAACCAGCCCCCTCCCTTTCTTCACCAAGACTGGCCCCTGAGGGTGGAAAGGTAGGGCCGGCCCCCCTCCCCTCAGGCACAAATGGCCAGGGTCCGTCCTCCAGACACAACTAGATGCTAGATTGGGGCCACCCTGATGTTTATACATTGGGTCTCCCAGAGTAGAAAGCCCCAGAGATTTGTTTTGTAAAGGGTTGGCATGAGGTGGGGTACCGGATAAGGAGGTGACCCATGGGGAGATTCACCACACCCATCTATATTTGCTGCTTTTTTTTTTTTTTTTTTTTTTTTTGGTATAAAGATAACCACAGTCCTTTCAAGTGCTGTCAGTGGGGGCACTCTGTCAGTCTCTGCTCCAAATTCGTTACTTAGGGGCAAAGATTTGGAACTAATTCTTCTCATCTTTTCCGTGTCTTTGGAAACTGTTCTTATATAAGTCAAAGAAAATGTTTTGGTCAGTACACCTCTGTGGAATGAAAGGCAAAACACCTTGAGGGTGGACAATCACATCCAGGCTCCGTCGTTGTTTTTGATGACAGGGATCCATGCAGCTTAAGTATCTGAATCTGTAATGTGTACATGTGAGTCTTCAGATGGAATTTGCAAGCTAAGGTATATAGGCAGCCCCACAATTCCCTTATGTGCCCACACACAAATATTTTAAGTCAGTGTACCTATGGGTGCACATGAGAAGGGATATTATATGTATACTTTTTGCTGTAGGATGGAGTAAACCTGACCACATGCACATTAAGGGCTTGTGTCCTCTGTGGTGTGTAACCACTGGCAGTGTTTATGAGCGTCAGCAATAATGCAACTGAGGGTCCTCTGTGTGTGTGTGTATGTGTATGCGCAAGACCCCTCTAGCCATGATATTTATCCCCTAGTCGTATGAAGGAATACTGTTGGCCTGCTGGCCATGTTGCCTATAAAATAAGATGGAGATAACTCTATAGAGCAAACCTGTTTATAAGGCAAAATATTAATCTCTGAATGGATAGTGATTTTGGAGAAAAAGATTTAAAACCTACAACTACCACTTTCCCTGCAAGATGCATCCCAGGAAAGATCCCTGGCCCCAGAAGGGATTTCGGAAGGCTGGGGGTGCGGGTGTGTGTGTGTGGGGGGGTGGTCATAGCAAAAGAAAAACAAAGGCTTCTGTGACCCCGGCCCAGGAACCTGCCAGTCCTTGGCGACCCTCTAAAAAGAGAAAAAAGGGGTCTCTGTCCCCCAAACAAACCCACCTTCTGGCCCCTGGGACGTCCAACCCCCCTCGCCGGTCAGGGGCATTCTGGGCTCAGCCTCTCTGGGTAATCCCCTCCAGCCGAGGCGCTGGCCGGGAACAAAAGATCTTCGTCTAGACGCCGCCATAAAGCACCCCCCCGCGCCTCTAAACCCAGTTTCATTTCGCCCTTAACGACCCAGTCTGGCCTGTGTTAGAAAATGCTTCCGCTCTAAATAGTAAACAAACCCACAGCGGATGGTCTTGGCTCCCCCAACACACCCCAGACCCCCACGCCATTACCCTCTTGCCCCGCATTTCCCCCCTCTTCTCTTCCAGCTTTTCTCAGCTCCCAGCTCCCCCACCCCCCCCACCCCCCCAGTAAATAAACCCGAGGCCGAGTTCAAAGTTTCTCGGAGCTAAGGAGGAATGTTGGTTGTAAAAATCCAAGTTTATAGCGCACGTGGGAGTTTACAAGGGTATTAAGTGGTGTGGGCTGAGAGAGAGCACTCTGGGCCCCTCCCCCTCTCGCTACGGGCTTTAGGGGTGCAGGGGGAACTTTGGGAATTTGCAGGGAGAAATAGGTTGGGGCCAGCCTTGCGCTGGGGTTTCTTTGTCCCTCAGACCCCTGGGTTGCTGAGGAATTGGGATGCCAGGGCCCCTTGAAAGACAGCTCACACAACCCCACCAAGCACCCCTGAGAGAAAGCCCACACGTTCTAGGTGTCCCGGATGGAGAGGACGGGCAGTTCTGCTTTGGGGAAGCCAGAAAGATGCAGACCAGGTGTCTGAAAGGTAAACCGACATGGGCATACCTAGAGCCACTTCTCCACCAGAGGGAGAAAAACTACTTGGGGCTTTTTTCTCGAGTGGACTGAGGGCAGAGAGGGATTTTCTCACCAGAGCAAAGAAGAACTTTGAACTTCAAGGAAGTCAAGGGCGCCACCCCTTCCCTCTCCCCGCCCCTCTCAGGACTCTGTAGGGCAATTCGTTTCTGGGCCAATATTCCCTCAAGGGGGCAGTCCCAGGGGTTTCCTGGTGCCCCAGGGCGGGATAATGCTGTTTGCTGAACCCTCCCTGCTCCGAGCCCGCCAGAACCCTGTGCACGCGACTACACTCTTTATTATTCATATAAACCTTTGGAAAAGGCAACGCCCGGGAAGTTTTTATAACTTTGTTTGGCATAAAAAGTTTTACAAGATTCCTCCTCCCTTTTTAAAAAACTTAAACTTTTGGTTTCGCCATGGAATGAAATTTCAGGATCTTTGGGAGGTTGTGGGGAGAGAGGTTCTGGGGCCCGGGTGGGGGAGGCAGTGGTGTCTGAAGCTGCCTCGCTCTGCCTCAGGCAAAACAAGGCTTAAAGGTTGGAGTCCGCTTCTTCCTGAGGCCCACCTTGAACCCAGCTTTGGGGGCTACCGGCTAACAGAGGCTGTGGGCCTGCAAGAGTCCCCGCCACTCAGCTCTTGAGACATACCCTCACAGACCCCCAAAGTTCGGACAATGTCAGCAGGCCCAGACATTCCCCATGACACCCTCTTGTTCTCTTGCAGACATCATTCCCCCCCCACACACACACACACAGCCCCAAACACTCCCTCAACCCACTGCACAAAGTAGAGACCCATAACCTTGACTCAGACCGCTGATTTGGGAGAGTCTACACACATAGTTTTGCCTCCCTGTTTCTTGCAAGGTCCACACTGGGTTTTGAAGAAAGACAGGATTCAAAACGCCAAGAAATTCCTGCCCAGAGGTTCCAGGGCTTGAGTGGTTTTGCAAGACTGAAGGAGAAGGAGGGCCAGCAGGCTGCAGTCCGGAAGCTCAGAGAACAAAGGTGCTCATGTGGGAACATGGCTTTGGGCTGCTAAGCCCACCAGTGACCCCTTGGATCTGTCCCCCCCCCCCACTCGTCTGGGACTGACAGAACCCCACTCCTTCATTTCCTCAGCCTTGGGGATGCCAGTTGGGCTCAAGTCAAGGCTATTTTACTGTTCAGCTCTGGAGATCAGGACAAAGGTGGAGCGACTTCTCCAAAGACAGACCTGGTGGACGAGCCTCCTTTGCGGTGATGGAATTGAAGACACCTGAGCCCTCGAACCGGGCCCTTCAGGGAGCCATCGGAGTCAGTAGGAACGGGCCCCAGCGCCCGCTTTTCTTTTCCTCTAATGGCGACTGCTGAGGCCTGGCCGCCGGCCGCTGGCAGCCATACACTTCGCCTTGTAAGGAGCCGAGTTATTAAGGCTGAAGGCAGGAGAAGGTCAACTCCAAGCCTGAGCAGTGAGGCTGGGGAGAGATGCGACCGAGCCTGGCGCCTTCCCCTCCCTGAACCCTGCACAACAGAGAAAAACAAGAAAGGTTGGCAGGGGGGGGGGAGGGTATGGAGAAAGTCAGGGGGGAAGGAAAACATTGAGGAGGAAGGACAAGAGCAAAGAACAAATTGTGTAACGAAGGAAGAAAAAGGGAAGAAGGACATGAAGAAAACGATGAATTGAGAAAGAGGAGAGATCAGAAAAAATGAAGGAAAAAAGAAATTGCAGGGGGAAAAGAAGGAAAGAAAAAGAGAAAGAGAAAGAACCAAATAAAGGGAGAGAAAGAAGGATGAACAAAAAGGAAGGAAGGAAGGAAGGGGAAAAAAAAGATGGAAAACGGATCTCCGAAAAGGAATTTAGTCGGTAAGGGAGGAATGGGGTTTTTCTCCGGAGCAAGCCGGCCCGACCACAGCCCTGACTTCCCGCTGGAAACCCAATCTACTGGGGCAACTTGGGAGCAAATCGCTAAAGTGGGGGGCAAGGCTCCCCCTGACAAAGACACACTCCCATCTGTCTCCTTCTCTCCAAGCTTCTTTCCAAAGTCTCTTCTGTCTGGTTTCGATTCAAGAGGCAAAGCAAAATTACTGGCCGGCTTCGGCAGGGCAAGAATGCAGTTGTGCTGGCTTAGATTATCAGACTTCAGGATATGGGGAGTGCAGGGAGCGTTGTTTTTTAGGTAAAGGTGACTGTTTGTGGCTGTGTGCACACAACTAAGCGCAATTTCGACAAGTACGTGAACGGGTAAATTCCATAGCATCTGGGTGCAAATGTGTACAACGTCCAGATGTGAGAGGAACTCTGACGGCCGGGTTGCCAGGGTGGCTGTGAGATCCGGAGTGGACTAGAGGTCCCTCCAAGTGTCCTGGGTCTCCCATGTCTCTCTCATACCTGTTTGAAAATCGCCTTCCTGGGCTTCTGAGCATTCTTCAGTTTGCCCAGGATTTCCCTGCTCCCAGCTCAGCCTGGCCAGAGCCTTGTGTCAGTGAAGTCAAAAGCAAATTTTTCCTTCAAGTTTTGGGATGAAAATGATTTGTCTGGGCCTCCAAAACAAGAGGAAAACCTCCTGCAACTTTCACCACTGGTGTGATTTTGTTTTCCATTTCACTTGAAGAGATTTCAACACACAAACTTCATTATTATTTTATTTTATTATTTTAGCCCAAAGGGAGAGACACTCTTCCTTTTTTCACTTCACCTTTGGAATTTCCCAGATGATTTCCTGAGCCTCTTTGAGAAACTCTAATTTTTTCTTGGAAAAATCGGGGTGTTTCTGGGGGGCACTTGGAGGGCTAGAGCCCGGAAAACAGTCGCGGTCCCTTTCTGTTCGTTGAGCACTACATTTTCCTTCTTCTGTTTTCACATGGGGACCCCTAGTGCCCCAGCCCTCAGCCTGCCCTCTGGAACCACCGATGTTCCTGGAATATGCAAGGAGCTAGCAAGGAGCACCCTTGTCCGCTCTCTTACTCCCAGTCCCACAGGCCCAGCCCCCCATCCCTGCTGCCCTTCCAGGTTCTGCTGTCCTACCGGGAAGAGGCGCACACAATGCCAGGGTTCTCCGGGTGGGTGGGATTGGTCGACAAGTAGGCACAGCCTGAGCACTGGTCTGGCCGGCAGCCCTTGGATTTTCACATCCCCAAATTGAGGCAAGAAGGGGAGCCCCGGCGTCAGACATAGGCACAGGTCTCTCAGCCCTCCCGGAAAGTTGGGAAAATGGTTTAACAGGGTGAATGCAGCAGCGCAGACTTCTCTGGACCCCAATCCAGTTCCCCAGGGGCGCAGGCCTGAGGGTCTTGGCTCTGCGGGGTAGGGCCGGTGGGTGCCGGCAGCGGCTTGGCCGTGGCAGCCCGAGTGCCTTTGAACGCCAGGCCCGGACAATAGGACGGAAGCGGCCTTTGCTCGTGGCCTCGGAAAAGACGGAGCCCAAGGGGGCAGGGCTGGGACCCACATCCGACTGTACTTCCTTGGACCCGCTCAAATGCCCCCCTCGCCCCCATCCTCACCCTCCCGCTTTCCTTTCTTTCGCCTCCACTGGGGCAGAATCCCAAAGTCTGCAAAAACCCAACAAGTTATTCAAGTCTGCGTCCTCTCGGGGTCTCGTTTAACAGCTCCGGGTTTGCGTTTATCCTGCGTAATTAGAGGCAAACGTTTGTCCCACCGGGGGTCCCACTTAGGCTGATGAATTTGATTTCTTTTTTCATTAATGGGCCGTGTTTATCATACTTTTAATTATTTCAACTTTAAACACTATTCGTTCTTGTGAGGAGGTGAGAGCCGAGGCGAGAGGCTCCTTCTCCCCGGGGGGGGGGGGGGGAGATAATTTCCATTAATAATGGCAAGAATTCTGAAGCGACTCCAACCCCTCCCATGGCTGAGGTAAGGAGTGAGTTTGGGGTGGGTGTCGGGCTGGTAGGGAGAGCCGGTCCGGAGGCGGAGTGACTCCGCTCCTCTCCCGTTAGTTCCCCAGGTTAAGTCTTGGGGCTTGCTGTTTTTGAGAGGTAATCTGGAGTTTGTCCTCTTCACCCCCACCCCCTTCCTTGCCCCCTCCCAGGCTGGGCTCCCATTCTTCCCCTGCGAAGCTCTTGGCAACCCTCCACCACCCCAGCCAGATCCCAGCGTGGCCGGGGCAGAGGCTCCGGGAGGCCCCCAGCTACGGACACCGAGAGAAAAACTAGGAAAAGCTAAGGTTGGCCAAGCGGTACCTGGGTGTGAAGGAGAGGGCCCAGCAGACCCCCAAACAGGGGGCAAGGGCAGGAGACTGGGACGCCAAACTCCAGGGACAGGCACACCAGGCGGGAAAATAAAGGAGATGTGAAAGAGGGGGGGAGGGAACCCCCCCAAAGCCATATAATTCTCAATTGCTTTGGTCTTTAATTTCATCGCCCCATAAATGAGGAAATATCAGTTCCCATACTAAATTTTTATCCCCGGCTGATAAATATGACGGGGAATTTTCGTTGGGTCCTCGTAAAAGCGAACAGTTTCGATCAAACTGGTGGGGAAAGACTTATGCAGATAATACAAACAGAGTGGCCATAAAGTCTCCGCCGTTTCCCGCGGGGTGGGCGGTGGGACAAATGGCTCCCTGGATTGAGTGCCGCCCGGGCTGTCCCAAGTCTCGTCTGGGGCCTAAACAGCCTAACCTTGCCCCGGCCAACCCCTGCGCCGAGCCCACGGCGACCCCTGCAAATGAAAACACAAAACCCTTTCTACTCTCCCCCTGGCTGGCCCTGCAAACAAGTCACACATTACACGTTTTCTTCCAGGATTCCCGGGGGTCCAGGGACCCCTGTGCCTCCTCTCTTGCCCCCTGGATGAGAGAGTTCGGCTGATTTCTTTCCGAAGTCCTTTTCTAGCAGCCGCTGGCTTGGGCCTCTCCAGGAGCGATCCAGCCTCCACACTCCACGCCAGGGCGCCCTGAGCACCGGTCCTTGCCTTGCCAGACTCCAGCCCTTTGGAAAATCGAAACCCCGGGCTTCGTCCGGGGTGGGGGGAAATGCGGGGCAACCGGAAAGACAAGTTATTCTCCAGATTCCGTTTCCTGAGGAAGGGGTGGAGAGTTTAGTTCGCTTTGGGAGAAAGGCCATGGAGAAACGGAAAGAACTATTTAAAATATACCCTGTCCCTTATTTCTCCTTTCCCTTTATTAAAAAATAAAACCCACAAAAACAGGCTGGTTCCTCTCCCCCATTTAAAATCGGCCCCCCCCCCCAGCCCATTCGCTCTGCAAAGGACACGTCTCCGGGTAGGATTTTGTCGCATCTGGTGTCCTAGTTTCCCCGTGTGATACGTGACTCCCCACAAACCAGCGGAGGCCCCGCGGGCTCCCTCTTTCTCTCTGGGAATATTCCCTGTTTTAGTGGGGGCAAGGTCAATTGGAAAGCGAGGGCCGCCAAGGCCTGCAGCAAAGCAGCCGAACCGACTCCAAGGCCAAAGCCTTCCAGCCCCTGAGATGGTGACCCAGGAGCCGCCCACCCTGCAAAGGCCGGGCTGCGCTCCTGGAGTCGGGGAGCCGGTGCCTCTGGTCTTCAGCTTCCTCCTCCCCCGACCCCTAGATCCACTGGAAACCTCCTTTACCCTCCTGGAGCAGTCCTGAAGTGATGGTGACCCCCTCCTTGGTCCACTCCAGACACGGGAGGTTCCTCCGTCAAGCCCCACGGGGCACTTAGAACTCAACCAGCTTCCATGAGCGGAGAGGTCCGGGAACTGAGCTCCCGGGCCAAGCCCAGCGAACCGGGACGCGGGAGAGCAGGAAGTTTAGTTCTGTTTGGGATTCCTTAACTTTTTCTCCCTTTCTCTGCCCACTGGAGCCCTCCCCACCAAGTTCACCCCACACCCATCCCAAGGGAAGAAGCGGGGCCCAGAGGCCAGGAGAGGAAAAGAAGAGGTGAAGCGAAGGGAAGAAGTACCTGAATCGTGTCTTGACCTTTTAATTTGAATTTGACTGTTTTGAGCCCCGAGATGCCTTGATCTCTCCCTCTCTCCTGCATTTCCCCCCTCTCCGCCCCACTTTCCCCAAGAGTTACAGGCTTGTTCCCGGGTAAACAAACCCCATTCTTCCTAGAACCCCCCCCCCCTCCCACCTTCCTCCACCCCTCTCCTGCCCCTGCCGCCCCGGGGGCGCTTCCTTTGTTCGCGGGGAAGGGCTCCGGCGCCCCTACCCCGAGGCGGCTGCTAGGTGGCGCTGTTACTCCACGCTGCGCGCTCCGCCTGCCGACAACTTGACCCCGCTGACGTCACGGCCGTCTGAATCATCAAGGCCATTTTCAAATCCCATTGGTCTAGCCGTCACATGGTGAGGACTGAATGCGCGGATAATTATGGAGCTGATATTTCCCCCCCCTCCCCTTCTTTTCCCTCCCGCCCCTCCAACCGCCCCCCCTCCCGGATGGGGAAAAAAAAAGATGTCAGCTCCTCCGCTGTAGTATTGCTCCTTAAAAACCCCTCTCTCTGAAAATGACATGCCCTCGCAATGTAACTCCGAACTCGTACGCTGAGCCCTTGGCTGCGCCCGGCGGAGGAGAGCGCTATAGCCGGAGCGCAGGCATGTATATGCAATCTGGGAGTGACTTCAACTGCGGGGTGATGAGGGGCTGCGGGCTCGCGCCCTCGCTCTCCAAGAGGGACGAGGGCAGCAGCCCCAACCTCGCCCTCAACACCTACCCGTCCTACCTCTCGCAGCTGGACTCCTGGGGCGACCCCAAAGCCACCTACCGCCTGGAACAACCTGTTGGCAGGCCGCTGTCCTCCTGCTCCTACCCACCTAGTGTCAAGGAGGAGAATGTCTGCTGCATGTACAGCGCAGAGAAGCGGGCGAAAAGTGGCCCCGAGGCAGCTCTCTACTCCCACCCCCTGCAGGAGTCCTGCCTCGGGGAGCACGAGGTACCCGTGCCCAGCTACTACCGCGCCAGCCCGAGCTACTCCGCGCTGGACAAGCCGCCCCACTGTGCCGGGGCCAACGACTTCGAAGCCCCTTTTGAGCAGCGGGCCAGTCTCAACCCGCGCGCCGAACATCTGGAGTCGCCCCAGCTCGGGGGCAAAGTGAGTTTCCCTGAGACCCCCAAGTCCGACAGCCAGACCCCTAGCCCCAATGAGATCAAGACCGAGCAGAGCCTGGCGGGCCCAAAAGGCAGCCCCTTGGAGAGCGAAAAGGAGCGGGCCAAAACCGCGGACTCCAGCCCAGACACCTCGGATAACGAAGCGAAAGGTAAGGCCGCCTGGGCCGCGGCCCGGCTGGGACGCTCGGGCACTTGGTCTTCGTGGCTGGGGCGGGGGCAAGGGGAGGGTTGGGCCGAGGAGGCCCTGGACGGTCCCGGGAATGTGATCCCGGCTTGCGACTCGTGTCTGCTGAGCGCCAGGCTGGTGGCGCGTCATTTGGCTAAGGAAGGTAAGCGGCAGAGTGGAGGGGCCGGGCCGGCAGCGGCCGTGGGCGCCGAGACCCGGGAGTGGTGCGCACCGCGGGCAGCCTGCAGGCGCCTTGTGCTGCCCAGGGCTGATGACGGCTCCCGGGCGCGTGCTGGCTTCGGTTTGCTTGCTTTGCGGTGGTGACTGGGGGGGCTGATGTCCCCCATACGGGTCAGAAGCTGGCAAAAAGCTTAAAATGGCGATCTTGGGCCAGGGACTAGGGAAGGCTTAGGAGAAGGGGGATTTCGCTTTCCTGCGTTTTCCCAGTTGAAAATTGTTTCCTTCGAAGCGCGATTTGTTGTTTGTGAGTCTGATTTGTGCTTGTGGTTTGGGCTCCTGCGGTTTGGGCTCAGCTGGGGGGGGCCTCAGGCAGCGCGGCTGGGGCAGAAAGAGGTGGAGGTGAAGGGCTGACCGCCACGTCCCTCCCTCCCTCCCCCAAACGCCTGGCTTGGGGATGGCGTTGGAACAGGGCATTTGGGATGTTGTAAGTTCTTTTTTGTCTCCCCTGTTAATTTTTTTTTCCTTTTTCTTTCTCTACTTAAATTTCAAAAAAAAAATTTTTTTTTCGTTGTCTTCCAAAAGCAGCTTACAAATGAGTGGTTGGAAAATTTCTGTGTGCGTGGCAAGCGGTCTTCTCCTGAAAGGGAATGTTGCTTTAGTTGGATTTCATCGTGATTTGGGTTGGAGAGAGAAAGCCTATCCAGAGTTCAAGCTCAGGGTTCAAGATTCATTTCTGCTGCAGGAACTGGGGGCCTCCAGGACCTTTCTCTGACACCTGGAGAAAGAATGTGGGGGGAATGGGAGCAGCGGAGGGAGCCTGAGGGGACCGACTTTCCCTGAAAAGTTGAAACAAAAAACATCAGAAAAGGCCCAACTGGGAGGAGAGGAATAAACCTGTTTCCCATGGCACTGGCTACTGGAGGCTGCATATAAATGGGGCTCTTTGGGTGTAGAGGGAGATGGAATACTGAGAGAGAGCTGAGCAGGCTGGGGGCGGCCTGGATCTTGTGGCGCTTTGTATATGGATGCGGCGCACACGCATGCCTGGCGGCGACCTGTGTCACACTCACACACACGCCTCTCTCAGGCTTCGCGCACACTCACGCATGCCCGCTCCCTCTCAGACACGCACACACGCACACACACTGTTTTGGCGGGCAAGGGTAGAGCTTTGCCCTCTTGGGTGTCTCCTCAGCCAGAAGATGAGCACGGGTGTGTTCATGAGGCTGCAGGGGTGAGGTACACACACCCACGGAGGCTTCCCTGTGGCACCTGTGCAGTGTGAAAGTTTAATTTTGTGCCCCCTCCCCAGGCTCTGAGCTTTGTTGGGACACAATTTTAGGATGGGAAAACCTGCCTCCTAACCCCCCACCAAAAGCAAAGTCAAGGTTAACAAGTCTACCTCCTAACTGGGACTGCCCCCGTTGGGGTAGGCAACCCTTCCTCTCCTCCCCTGTCCACAACAACCTAAGCCCCTCCACCCCAACTAATCCCTCTAACTCTGCACTTTGCCTCTGCCTTTCTTGCTTTCACCACCCTCCCCCATATGGTGTCTCAACCAGGCCACAGCCAAGAGGGCTTTTGGCCAGACTTCCTCATTTGTAATTTCTCCCTTCCCCCCCCCAAACCCAACAACCCCAATAAGAAAATAAATAGGACAGAGTTAGATGCGGAGAGCCTTGAAACAATTTGGCAAGAGGCTGCAGGTGCAGAGGCCGGAGCGGAATTAAGGACATTCAAATGTCTTAAACTATAGCCTCAAGTTTGCTTTTGTGTGTGTGTGTGTGCCTCTTGATTCCCCCAGGGCCCCGTCCCGCTCCCCAGGAAGATAAGAGCGAGGAACCTGGCAGTTTCATTTGGCAAAGCGGGGAGATAGAGCACAGAGCCATCAGCAGAGCCCTTTGCTGGGTGCCCTTCTTGAGTGTCTGGACTCTGGGTTTTTTTTCCCTAGAAAAGATGGCCAAGGTCTCTTCTGCTGCTTGAGGAGCAAGGCTGGTCCATTCCAGCCAACATGTGTACCAAGGAGAGAAGTTGTCAATAAGATAATGAGAAACACACACTATGTCTATAGCGTCTCCTTATATAAATAGACACGTGTGTGCCTATGTGTGTACATATGTGTGACAGTGTGCATCTCTACAGGAATACACATCTACGCACAGGCATACATATCTCTGTAGACTAGGTGGAGATTTCCAGGAGGCTGCATTTCCTCAGGATATCTCTCTCCCTTGACCTTAGGTCCCATGGCTAGGGCAGTTGTCTGAGGACCCCTCAGCACGCCCCAGGGCTGTTGCCCCTGACCTCTGCTGCCTGCACCAGCAACCCTGCTTCAGCTACTCACACCTGGGGGAAATGGCCAGGAGAGGAAGAGCTGGCAACGGGAGATTGAAAGGGGCAGAGTTGCTCTGTGGCACTTCAGGTGGGAACAAGGGCTGGGGGTCTGGTGCAGGGACAGCTGCGGTGGCCTCTGGCCACAGAGCCTAAGGCGACAACATCCCTCCACTGAGTTGAAAGGGGTCAAAGCTCTCTGGGAATTGCTCTAGGCAGCAGGGGGGACTCTGCAACCCTGTATGAGGCCTGGGAGGCGCTTTTCCTTCTAGTTGGATTTTTCCAGAACTGGAATGAAACACAGAGGAGGGAGGGCCTGGTGAGGTTGAGAGCGCGTGCCAGGGTCAGGAAGCTGAGGGAGAGTGGGAGTACTCAGAATCTGCTAGGTCAAGGTGGATTGGGGTAATTTAATTAATAAACGCTTTGGAGGCGAGAACTGTCTGTCTTTCCCCCCATGTAAGTCAGGACCCCAAAGAAATTCTAAGAGCCCTGAGCCCAAGAGGACCCCACCAGTCAGGCCTGTGGGGTGAAAGCAGCCCCCCTGTGCTCCCTCAGCCGCCCCCACAGCTGGCTGGCAGCAGCGAGGGTTTGCCTCTTCAAGGGATACTTATGTAAATAATGTTATTTTTAACAGAGGAGATAAAGGCAGAAAACACCACAGGAAATTGGCTGACAGCAAAGAGCGGAAGGAAGAAGAGGTGCCCCTATACTAAACACCAGACGCTGGAATTGGAGAAAGAATTTCTGTTCAATATGTATTTGACGCGAGAGCGCCGCCTGGAGATTAGCAAGACCATTAACCTTACAGACAGACAAGTCAAAATCTGGTTTCAAAATCGCAGAATGAAACTCAAGAAAATGAACCGAGAGAATCGGATCCGGGAACTGACCTCCAATTTTAATTTCACCTGAGCGCGCGGCCTCCCCTCCCCCCCCCCCCCCTCCCCCCCCCTGCCTTCCCCCCCCCCCCCCCCCTTTGGCCTGGTGGTATATTTTTTTTTTTTCCCTCCCTGAGTATAAATGCAACGCGCCTGCAAAAAAAGGCAAAGACCTCAGACTCTCCTTCCAAGGGACCTATGGTTCGTGCTGCGAAGATGCATCCACCTAAAGCATGAGAAATGGGGTGCCGGGGTGTGGGGTGTGGTGTGCCCGCATAGACAGGGGTGGGAGTGTGGCTGGTGTGTGTGTCAACCCCTCACTCACCCACGCACTCACACACACCATCCTGTCCTCCAAGCAAAGTTAAGGTCGAATCCACCCGATCATAGGGGGGAAAAGAGGGGGAAAAAAAAATCAACCAGAGAAGGTCTGTAATCTCGCAGAGCACAGTCAGAATCGCTCCTTCCTTGCTGCATTTCCTCCTTAGGATAATAGACGTTTTGGAAAGTTCGGCTAGTGTTTTGTGTGTTTGTCGTAGCGCCCAGCGCCTCCAGCAAACCCTCTCCGTGTCTTTACCTCCTGGTTGCTCTGAGAATCTGCTTGAAGTCTCGTATTTGTACTGCTTTCTGCTTTTCTCCCAATCCTCCCAGCACCCCCACATCCCCCCGCCACTGACACCTC